AAGCGCAGAAATTTCTCTCGATGGTTAATTCGACAATGCACGCGAGATCCTAACTTCATGAACTGCATTTTGGTTAATGATGAATCTTGCTTTACAAGAAACGAGATTCTTAATTTTCGTAATAACCATACTTGTGCTTAAGAAAACCCTCATACGACTGCTGCTGGACATTACCAACATACCGTTTCTTTAAATGTCTGGTGTGGTCTTCTAAGCGACAACATCATCGGCCCCTTCTTTTTGCCAGCTAGGCTGTCAGGTATATCTTACTTGAATTTTTTACAAAATAATCTTCATGAACTCCAAGAAGATATTCGAGGACAGTATGGGTTCTATATTATAAGACCGATGGGTTGGTAGAAACGGACCTGTTAAATGGCCACCACGATCTTCGGATTAACGCCATTAGGTTATTGTGTGTGAGGCTGGATGAAGTCTATGGTTTATTCTGCGGCTGTTGGCACGCAAGAAGAGCTAAGAAATCGGATCGTGGAAGCCGCAGTAACTATCAAGCAACACCCTGATGCTATACGAAGAGCCTGAGAACCATGGATTCGTCTTGCTGAATGTTTCATTCAACAAAACGGAGGCCCCTTTGAATAGTTACTCTAAATGTTGTAATAATAAACAAACAGTAATAATATATATTAAATATTTAACCTTTGATATCTGGGTAATAAATGAGTTACAGATATATGTTAATATTAACTTTTTTGTTTATTTTTTTTTTAATAGTGCCGTGCAATTACGAAACACCCTGTATAATGAATTTTATACAGGTTTGAAAGACAATGTTGTCATATCTACACATAAAATAAATGAGCTTTGGAAAAATTCTCGAAAAACGATTTAGTTTTTTTTTTTTTTAATTTCGTTTTTTATATTTTCTAGACCTGTTAACAACTAACATTCTTCTCGAGGTTTCGAAACAGGAAGACTGAATAATGTTTTTTTACGCTGTTTCAAAAAATTAAAGATTGGAAAGTAAAGGATATAATATAGTAGGCGTGACCAGAAGGGGTCTTTATGGCGCAAGTTGCGTCAAAAAAATTTTGAGGGAGCATATTTTTACGGAGTTTTTAGGTGAAAATATTTTCAGACTGTGTAAACAAGGAAAGGAAACATCTACGGTAATAAACGGGACAGTTTAATTGCAGTTAGGAAGCGATTATGAGGGGCTTAAATGTAGGTACTGAAAATTGAGGGAATCAATTAATTTGTAAATAATATTTTATTTTATTTATGTTATTATTAATTTTTTTCTATGAAAGTTCTGGAAATATATATATATATATTTTTTACCATAAATTAATGTTATATTAAGTTGTTAAAACCATAAAAGTCTTATTTTTTATTTATTTGTGACGAATACATGATTCCCAATCCAAAAATATGGTTATTATATATAATAAATTTTGTTTTACTACTTTTTTAAATTTTAAGAAAACATATGTATTTTCTTGTATTTTTACCATGAATTAATATTATATTAAGTAGTTTTAACTATAAAGGCTCTTAATATTTATGTGTAGCGAATAAATTATTTTTAATCGGAAATTATGGTCATCATATATAGTAATTTTTTTTCACTATTTAAAAAAAAAATCTGGATTTTTTTTTTGTTTTTAACCATAAATTAATATTATATTAAATAAATTTAAACCAAAAAAGCCTTATTTATATTTATTTAGGACAAATACATGGTTTCCCTTCGAAAATTATGGTAAATGAATTTTTTCCTCCTTGATCGGTCATCGGCCCCACTAGGTCGGCTTCGATAAAAAGGTTTGGACCAACTAAATATTTTTTTTCTGTCTATTTTAGTACTTTTTCAAAATAATTTTGTGGATTTGAAAATACGAATAAATAATTTATTTTTTCACTCAGTGTATCGTTTGGAATAGTTGTTCATGCTTATAAAAAGAAATCGTATCTAGCATACAAAATGTGATTGAAAATGATAATAATAATGTCGAACAATTTTCGTTATAATCCAACATTATTCCATTGTCAAATCTTCGGGTTCGCTAAGCCTTATTATTATTATTATTATTATTAATTATTACGACTTTTATATAGAACACTTTATTTTTTAAATACAATTTAATATCACTCTCTATTGTTTTTACCGTTAATAAGCAGGGCCCGGATTTCCATGTAGTGAAAATCCACAAAATATGCAATTAAATAATCTTCAAGTACGCAGAAAAATATATGCAATAATAAAACATAAAATATGCTATGAAAAAATATCTAAATATGCAATAAAACGTCTGAAGTATTCAATTACACTAATGAGCCCACAGAATTTTAGGAACAAAAAATAAGTAAACATTAAAATTTAAATAAAATTCATTTTTATTAATAAACTAAAATAATTAAAACATAGTGTGATAAATAAACGAGAAAAAAATAACTAAAATATCAAAGCATTGCAAAATTCCAATTAGTTACAAATGAAAAATAGCTGTATCTAATTTAATAGAATAATAATAACTAATTGACAATATTAAAAAAAAAGTTAAAAAAACGAAAATGATTATGAAAATAGTTAACACACGTTACCATATAATTGATAATAATTATAAAAATAATATGAGATATCTATTAAAATGGTATAATTTACAATTATTAATAAAAGAAAACTAGGAATGTTTTAGCTTAAAATTAATTGACAAAATTAAGAAAATATATAACACCCATTGGTTAGAACTTACTAAGTGACGTGATCTGATCGAAATTAATAAATAAATTTCTATTTATTTTTTTTTATTTAAATCTAAATTTTGAAAACCTAATCTTCAATAGTTTAAAATGTGTTCATAATGAGAAAATTATTTTCCTATTATAGGTGTAATAGGAGCAAATTTGTGTCCACTTAAATTATTGACTTGTTATTAATAAAAAATACATGTTTTTCAATTTTTCAATCAATAAAAGAAATTGATGCACCTAAAATTATAAACAATAGAACTGCTTATAAAAAAATGTCAAAAATCGAAAAGGAGTCTTTTGTTCAGATAAAAAGCAAGGAAATAAAAACATTCATATTCTTATAGCTCAATATAGTTAAGGTAACATTATCTTGTTGTTATTTGTCGGTTGACAATCAACTTATTATTGTATTAAAGAATTTCATCTTCAATGTTCCATTTTAATTCATTATTTCCGACTATTATTATTATTTGGTATATGAAATAAACAAAATATGCAATATTTAATATAATATTTAATGACGAGTGCATATAACTTATAATAAAGTATGCAATGTAAAATTTACTGATTTTAGCCAGTTTATAATTTCCATGCAAACAAAACAAGCAATTGTATAAAAATACATGCCTTGATTATAAGTTAAAAGAATAAAAACGAAGATATTGGATTTCAAGGAAAATATGATGAACTAGAAGGAATTGTTATTGTATCAGTGAGGTGGAGAGAACAAAACACAACACTGGTAGAACCCAACTTAATTCTAAACACAGAGAGTATCACATAAAACACAAACATTTCACATTTCAAAATAAATAGCTCATTAGGACAAAATCCCACGGCAAAAGAATATAAAAGAACCATTTATTTAATTTGCTGACTGCGTGGTTTTAGGGTTAAATCATAAACCAATTGACATTTATTATACCGGTTGAAGATTTTTGGTTAATTTTAAAAATACCTTCAAGGTATTTTATATATGTGCGTGCATTCATTTATGTATATGTGTTTGTGTTTGCGTTTGTAATATTTAATTTGAGAAAGTATTTATATTAAAACATGAATCGATTTAATATATATTTTTTAAATTTTCAAATGAATAATTATCCGCGGCTAAATGGGCTCAGTTCCTTAATTCCTTTATTTATTTTTTTTATTATTATTTTTTTTTTATTGATGATATTTACAACTGTATTATAAGTAAAAATACATTCAGTAAATGTGAACAAAAGATTTTAATAACATGAAATCACTTGTTGAGAAACTACTCACTGGTAGCACTCTAAAAATGTATTTACAAAAGGAGATCTCGAGGCCATCTTCTTTTTAGACGCCTCAGAGGGCTTTATTTTTAATTTTAAAATTGCCCAAATGTTGGTTTGTCCGTTGGGGAAAAGTTCTACGTTTTTTTTTTTTTTTTATTATTATTATCATTTTACTGCTCCATAATCGTTGTATTTAATTTATGGATATAGCTAACGTGGATGTAAAGCTACAACAGTTAATACACTCATTTGCTGTTAATAACAATTGCTAAACACGCGAAAATATCAATCTAATAAAGCATATTTATTACATCACATTTACAACTTTTATTATTTATAAAAATTTAAAGTTGAAAACAATATATTAATGATTCTCAATCACCTTAAGTTCATTTTATTGTCTTTCCTTTTTTACTAATTTTTTAAAATTTTATATCTCAGTAGAAATGAAGATACAGTAATGTGGAAGATTTTATTAAAGCGAAGTTTTTATTTCAACGTAATTTGACTGGAATTATTAAACATTTCGTAATTGACAGACGCGTTTCACTCATTTTCATTCACATTATGCGTTTTTTCTTTACCATTGACATTCTTGGTTCTTTAAATTAATCAATTTAATTTTGAGGTTTCTGGGTTGGAAAACTGTTGCAATCAATTTCTGAGATCCAAAATGGATTATTTCAAGTTTTATGCATCATGATATATTTATATATCATAAGTAAGATGTAAATAAGATTTAGATTAATTTTGAATTTTACTGTCATCGCACTTAAAAATAATACTTATTTTTCGTCTTTGGCCTCTGTAGATTTTTAAGCGCAACCTTGCTGCCTTTTTAATGTTTTTGAACTCAAACGATTGCACACATCTCCAGGAGGTATTATTTAAAGTAATTGTTAAGACAGGGAGTTTAAACTAAACTTGATTATAAATAGACCAATTATAAATATCAAATAGAGGATGAGAGGTGGAGGGGAGGGGTATGAGTGGACTAATAGAACCCCACTCCTTGCAGACGGAATTAGACTCAGTTGGTTCGAGATGGGGAATGTATTCTCTTCGTTTGCCCTACGCCCAGGTATGTTATCATCATTCTCTTCCACCATTATCATTATCATCTACACACACAAGTTCCTTCATTCATTAGTTCATTCAAACAATAAATAAAATTGTAATTACTTTGCCTCGATCACATAGTCTAGTTGAGTCACGAGACCATTATTGGTAGTTTGATGTCCTCGCTTCTAAAACATAAGACATTTGTGCTAAGAGTTTTAAAATGCTTAGTTTTCGACAATTACAGTTGCATTTCTCTCTTATTGCTCTGATTCTCACAAAAACAATTACTATCTCTGACCAAAATTCCATTGGCTCCTTGCCACCGAATGACTTTTGAAAACACATCAGAAAATACCGCTGGGAAAGCGTCATTTCCGTACAATTTTAAACCTCAACTGAGAAGCCCCATGGATATTCACGTTTGAAATTTATTTTATTTTTTGTTTTATTATAAACAGAATTTTATGTTTATTTGTAAAACTGAATCACATTATCACACTGTAGATGTAATTCCGAACATTGTTGAGTGTGTCCGAAAGTAGAAGTTAACCAATTCTCTTCGTAATACAGTTCTCGAATAAAAGCGATTTGTTTATCTCTTATAATCGAGTAGAAGCCGATATTCGCGATCTTGCTAAAGGGAGGTTACCCTTTGTTTTCAAGATTTGGCCATTTTCGGAATTTCATCTACTGTGTTGTACTCATCCATACTTTTAACCTGTGTTGAATTAACAGTGTGTATTAAATAAAGAGTCATATTAATTTTAGCTCCGATATTGTTGACATTTAACAAGTTTCCAAGGGAAGGGGTCTTGGAAGTATGCAATCCATTCAACAAAAATGTTCTTGTTCCGGAATACCTAATATTTTTATTTCTTTTTGCAATATTTTTATTTAAATTATTTTTAACCCGTTAAAAAAATATATATGTGTATTCGAAATATTATCAAATTTAAAAGTGTCAAGTCTTTTCTTTTAATTTGCTTGCGTCTTCTGTAAATACTTCTTCTCTTCTAATATTTTTGAAATTATGTCCACTTACTTATGACACTTTGGCACCCAGGTACAAAAATATTAAATAAATTATTTACTTTTCAAGCTGTTTTATAGTAAGTAGTATTTGAATTGTATTTCATTCAGTGTGTTTTTATTTCAGTTGCTTACTAATAGCCTAAAATTAATCATTCTCATACGCTTTGCAGCTTTTCTTTTTTCTTGACAAGTTGCGTGAGCTCTCCTCCTGCCTTAAGGACAGACAGCACTGCAATCAATAAGAAATTAATCAACTTGGCATTCGCGGCAGTAATAATTTTTTTAACTATTAATTGCCATTGTTAGCAGTTTGTATTATGTTTTGCTATGAAACAAATTTATTTCTATTAGTAAAACAAAACAAATTACAAAATGATTGCTGATATGTATATATACACATATTGTATGCTTGAAAAATAAATAGCTCCAATCATGTTTCTATATATTTCAAATAATAATAAAAACGGTGTGTCCCTGGCCTAAATTATCGAGGTTCTATTTTAACAATGAATTTTGAAATACTTATTATTTGAAACATATAAAAACATGATTCTGTACCAATTCCTGGAGCTGTTTGTTGTTCTAGCATTGAACAGGATCCCATCGTTAGCATAAAAAACCGAGATCGAAACGTCAAATGGATCAAAGGATCGAAGGATCAATGAATAACTTGTAGTTTATTGAATTTTAATTTAGTGACCTAATTCCCAATTTAAATAATTATGTTAAAACATGTATACAGGATGTGCCGTAAGTAGAGAGAAATATTTAAATGGTTGATAGTAGACATCGAGATCTACGAAAAAGTTCATATAAACAATTTCCCGCAAGAAATTAGGAAATTTAAGATTTGGGTTTTTTTAAGCTAGTCACGTTTTTTGTTGAATAGGAAGCGATAACATAAAAAATATTTGATTTACGTTACTAAACATTGCACCATAATAGACTAGATAGAATTTCCTTTAAACGAAAATAGGCTTTGTCATTGTTAAAACTATTTAAAGAAGACTATTGAGTGGCTAAATGCTGTCTAGTTACGTTAAAAAAAAAGTCATAAATTATTTGATTTTTTTTATCACACTTTAACTGTACTACAACCACCCCACTTTTACAAAAACTTCCTAGTTTAATAGGCTTTAAGTACATATTAATTAAGTTGAGATTTATCAGGAAAAAAATTGGGATTCACCTCAAGTTGTTTAAAGAAATGATGTGATTTTCTATTCATCCAAAAAATGCTTTTATTTTTTGTTTTTCCGTGATATGGGATGTATTGTAATTATTGTTTCCCAAAAGCGAGACCGAGACGAGTCTTGGTCTTGCAAACTCAGTCTTGGTCATGGTCTTGGACTTGCGCAAAAATCTCGCAACAGTCTTGCAGTTACTTATTAGCTTATTACTATAGAGATATTACTGTATTTTTTTTAAGATAGGAGAAACCTAACTAAGCCCGAATGAAAAATTAGAGGAGTTAAATGTAAAAGTATATTGGTTATACCAATTATTAACATATAATAGCTACGATTGTCAAGTATTAGTAACTATTTTGCCTTAATTTTTATTTAAAAAATCAATTTTTTTTTTACCAGTCCTGGTCTTGGGCTTGCAACCGTTAGGCGGTCTCGGTCTTGATCTTGGTGCAACAGCAAGACCGATTTTGGTCAACATTAATTGTAATAAACATAATTGCCTAAAAACTACATAATGTAAAGAAATGATGTGATGTTCTATCCAGTCATCTAAAAGTACTCCTGTTTTCATCAAATATTACGACAATTAACTGTTTCAAAGTTGTTATTACTAATTTTTCCACGAACTGGAATGCATTGTGGGCATAATGTAATAAACGTAATTGCATAAATACTCTTCTTACTTATGAAAATAAAAAAAGTTATGATTTTTGAAATATTTTTCATGTATCGAGGTTATGAAATTGGGGTTTTCTCCCAGATCTCTGCCATTGGAATTTATCTGTATTTATCAGTGACCAACGTAATGTTTCTAGTCCAAACATTGATGTTCAAAATAAAAAAAAAAAGATTACTTCAATTATTTTCATTAAAACATGAAAATTAGGACTAGAAACATTAAGTTTGTCACTTATAAATACGGTCCAAATATTTTAAAAATCATTATTTTCAATTTTTTATTTTCATAAATAAAAAGTGTATTTAGGCAATTATGTTTATTACAGCACATTCCAGGTAATGGAAAAACAAGTATAGTATCTGGGGAAAACATGCTGTTGTGATGGAGTTAAATTCAGACAGCAATATTGATCCTAGGAAATTTGTGATTTTGGTTTCCTATTGCTGATGTTTACCTTTGAGTCTGCATCTAGAAGGAATTGGTGTCCTAAGAAATTAAATTGTAGTTCAGAAATAGCCATTTTAGGTGCTAAATATGTCGCAACTAGTGTTACTGGGAACAGGGAAGTTTGGATTGCTATGACAGTGGATTGTAGTAAATTATGGATTGGTAATGGGAAATTGATTGATGGATAATTATGGAATGGGCTGTTCCATCACTACTGTATTATAATTAAGACTGATAAACATGTGGTTCTGTTGTGCAAATGAAATTTATTACTGGAGATTTTATATCATTGGGTTGTTCTTAGATTCTTTGTAATTGGAAAACCTCAGTTTTCGAATTTCATTTTATTTTGCTTTTTTTTTTTGTTACCTATAAGAGTCATGAATCGTCAATATTGTTTAAAGTATTTTAAAAAAATAAAAATGTTTTTATTAAATCTTCGTTTTTAATATTATATTTTTAAGTCGCATTGCAACGACAGAACGAAGAGGAAACAAAACTCACAGTCTCGTTAGTCGTAATGAAAATGCCATGCACTGGTTTTGCGTTCCGGCTCTGGAACGGTTTGGAATGGTTTTTCTCGTTCCGAGGAGCTTTCAGAATTTCGTTCCATTGGAATGTGAACGCTTTTAGGTTCTAGTACATTCCAATGTAAGATTTCATTCTAGCATCCGTTTGGACAAAAGATGTGTCACATTATTTATTAAGATGTTTATTTTACTTTAAATACATTTGGTACTAGTTCACATGAGTTTCGCACGGATTACGCCCGGTTCACAATCACTTCGGTCACACTTGTTTATGGAATCACGAAAACAGACGAATCTTGCCGTCTTTGACACACACATCCCTTTTAACATTCATTTTTGGAAATCTGTCATTGAAATTCCCATCATAGAAATTCCGTATTAACAATTTATTAACGAATAGTGAATTTACTAGTGTGTTAAGTATTAATTTTTTTTTGTAATAGTAATTATCTGGAAGAAAAAAAAATATATATTTACAACTTTTCCTTAATCGACCTTTGAGTATTAAATTTAAACATAAGTATTTAATTGGGAATAAGGTCACTTATTAATTATTTAATAAGCTACTGAATGTTCATTTCCTCTATGTTTATTGACGTTCCGATCGCGGTATTTTCTTTTTATAAGTCAACGATGGGATCCTCTTCAAAGCTAGAATTTTAAAAAATAGAGCTTCGATCAGGCCAGGGACACACCGACGGTCTCAGCAGTGTCCACTAGCAAATATATTAAGCTACTCTTAGATAAATTAAGTAGCTTAATATATGTGCTAGTGGACAGTGCCGAGACTGACGGTGTGTCCCTGGCCTGATCGAAGTTCTATTTTTTAAAATTCTAGCTTTGAAGAGGATCCCATCGTTGACTTATAAAAAGAAAATACCGGGATCGAAACGTCAATAAACATAGAGGAAATGTACATTCAGTAGCTTATTAAATAATTAATAAGTGACCTTATTCCCAATTAAATACTTAAGTTTAAATATATATATAATGATGTTTGATTCCTCCTTGAAGGACTGTTAAAAAAAAAAAAAAAATGCTTTTGGGAATAAAATAGTTATTGACAAGTGCTTATACTTTATGCAGTTGCTGTAAATTCGAATGTATTATTGTATGTTAACTTTTATAACTGTCTATAAAA